AAAACAATATTGAGCTATCATTTTACACCAATCAAGATGGGCAAAACATTTCAAGACTGGTAACACAAACTGACAAGCCAACGGGAGAATGGAAGCTCTCATAAAGATTATAGGAATTTAAACTGATACAATCAGTCAAGAGAACAAATGGTAATATATGGTAAATCTGAAGATGTGCATAATTTCCAACTCAGCAATTCCACTATATTGGAATTTGTACTTAAGAAAAATTCCGTATCTGCAAAAGGAGATATGAGTAAGAATGCTTATTATAGCATTGTATTTAATAGTAAAGAGAATGGAAACAACCTAAATATTCACCAATTGAATGGATAAATGTGTAGTACATTCTTACAATTAAAGTTAATGGGCAGGTGCTAGATTTCAGATAAATAAAATTGAGAAATAAAGTATATACTTTTTCCCCCACTTTCCCAATTGTTGAATGCTGGTATTATTTGTTACAATGCTAGTGTTAATTTTTGTTTATGCAAATAGTACCTGTGACCGTGCTAACTTCATCTGTTAATTCTAATAGGGTTTTATGTTTATTTTTTTAGATTCTTTAGGATTTTATATGTAGACAATTACATCTTCTGTAAAAAGAAATATTTCTTCCTTCACAATATTATACCTTTATTTTTCCTACCTCACTGCACTGGTCTGGATCTCCAGCAAAATACTGAATAGAAGTAGCGAGGGCAAGTATCCTTGCCTTGTTCTTGAGCTTCAGGCAAAAGCATTAAATTTTTTCACCATTCACTATGATGATTCCTGTATATTTTTGTAGATGCTTTGATCAGGTTGAGGAAGTTTTCTTCTATTGCTAGTTTGCTGTAAATTTTTATCATGAGAAAGTTAAAATGTGTCAAATGATTCTTCCGTTGAGAGAATTATATTTTTTCTCAAGTGTCAGTATCAGAGGTATACTAGCCTTATAAAACTGAGTTGAAAAGCCTTTCCTCCTCTTCTGTTTTCTGAAAGAATTTGTGAAAGACTGGTATTATTTTTTCTTAGGTGTTATATAAAATTCATCGGTGAAATAACTTGGGACTGGAATTTTGTTAGAAAGAATTATGAATTCAATTTCTTTAATAGATACAACGCTATTCAGATTTCTCTGAGTGAATTTTTATAAAGTTGTGTTTAAGTTATTAAATTAATTGGTATAAAGTTGTTCACATTTATACCTGTCAATTTTGAAGGATCTTTAGTGACACCCCCCTTTCATTCTGATTTTTCTTCATTAGTATTGCTAGGAATTTATTAATTTTATAAATACTTTTAAAAGAACAAGCTTTTAGCTTCATTTATTTTCTGTACTGTTTTTCTATTTAAATTTTGCTCTGATCTTTATTATTCCTTACCTTCTACTTTGAGTTTAATGTGTTCTTTTTCTAGCTTAAGACAAAAACTTTGTGTGGTAGCCAACCTCCAAAATGGTCCCTTAATAATTAAGTCTTGCCTTGTGGAATTTGCACCTTTTTGTAAGTCTCTTCTATACTGAATATATCTTATCTGTGTAACTAACAGGATATTAAGAAAATGCCAGAATGTAACTCTCACTGCCAGGCATCAATGTCATTACAGCTTCTGCCTTGCTGTCTTGGATTATTTGCTTCAGAGAAAGCCAGATTCAGAGTCATGACACTAAACAGGCCTCCAGTACAAACTTGTTACCAATTGAGTTTTACAGATGTCAAACAAGATTTAATCATCCATTTAAACATTGATTAAGTACCTACCAGACAGGGATTCCTTTATAGGTTGGAATTTAAAAAGGAACCAGAAAAAGCCTCTGCCTTTTATGAACAGACCCTGGGTTAAGATGAAAGATTAGCCACAAGGAACTCATTTCAAACTCCACTATAACTACAGTAAGGAATTAAAAACAAACACACAAAAAGACATAAACCTAGAAGAAGGGGAGATCAGAAAACAGTGCATCAACATTTTAGAAGATGAAAACAAGTTGACAAGTTAGTAGATCCAAGAAAACGAAATTCCAAACCAGCTGTTGGGAATAAGAAACAGTTGCATTTACACTATAGAATTCTCAAAAAGCACAAGATGTGGCAATACTAGGTACCTCTGAAGCTGGTGACAGGAGGATGGGGGTGGTGCAGAAAAACACAGAGAAAAGCTGAGAAGCAGGTCAAGTCCTAGATCCCTTGTCTAGCTACACATTACTGAACTGCCTCTTCTTCATCCCTGACTAAGTCTGGAGTTTTATTCTTTGGAAAAAGTAAAAGGCTCTTTGGGAAGAGGATATCTGGTACAACGGAAGGCACAGGACTAAACCAAAAACAAGGGATTAAATAACTATAAATATTAAATGCTGAATGCAGACATTCCCCAAGCCAGAATCCCCAACTTGGCCTCCAGAAGGCAGGCAATTAGACTATTACTCTCAGGCAGGAGTTTGGAAGACTCCTGTTTGGGTAACTTGATTAGCCAAGAGGAGAGACTTAAGGGTTCTAATGTTGTAGATTCTCCAGCATCAGCCTACTGAAATCATCCAATGAAGAAACTCAGTCAACATGCCCTACTGATGCATTCAAAGTTCCTACTCAGTGTTTATACTCCCAGTGAATTGTGAGTAAATATTCAAGTATACTACATATTTGAGAAAAGTCTCCAAACTGGAAGACAGATTAAGAACATACATATTTGGAGAAATAATAAGCATGTACAGGATAAAGAAACACCAAAATAAATTATTCTTGGAGATAAGAGAGGATACTGCATTTATCAAACTATTAAGAACAGTATGCTGTAATAAAATAACATTCGGGAAATAAAAAAAAGAACTATTAGAAATTAAAAACATAATAACAGAAAAGAAAAAGTGAATAGAGGGTTAGAAGGTGAAGATGAGGACATTTTCCAGAAAGTAAAGCAAAACAAGGGAAACAAAAAGACAATGTATATACACTTAAAATGGGTGAATTTTATGGTGTGTAAATTAAACCTCACTAAAGCTATTTAAAAACGGAGCACTGCTTTCACTCTGGCCGGGTAGCTCAGTTGGTTGGAGCATCCTCTTGTACACCAAAAGGTTGTGGGTTCAATCCCCAGTCTGGGTGTGTGTGTGAGGCAACTGATCAGTGTTTCTCTCTTACATTAATGTTTTTCTCTCCCTTCCTCTAGCTCTCAAATCAATAAAAACCCCAAAACATACCCTCAGGTGAGGGGGGGAAAAATGGAGCACTGCTTTCAAATTTACGAAAGAAAATTACTTCCAACATAAAAACCAAGCTAAACTACCGCCTAGGTTTGTTGATATTTTTCCAATGTGTAAAGTGTCCAAGAAAAATTGCCTACTATGTACCTTTTTCTCATGAAACTTCTGAACATTAAAAAAAGGGAATGGGGGAGAAAAGGGATATAGAAACAGAAGATCAATTTAGGAGAAAGACAAAATTCCCCAGTGAGATAGTGAAGTGTGATCCCAAGACGACAGCTGTGCATCAAATATGAAGGGCACGCTTGGACCAGACTGAAACAAGGTGAATCAAGAAACAGCTTTGCATAATCCATGGACATACAATAGTGTGGTAAAGGCCTAGGGTGGGGGGTGGGGGCAGGGTAGAAGGGGTCAATGGGGAAAAACGGGGACATCTGTAATACTTTCAACAAAAAGATTAAAAGAGAGACAGATCTGAAGAAGACTGTCATTGACTGCAGCCATTATACTGGTCTTCTAATATGAGGATACAGACTGGGCAAGCCTGATACAGATATCTGTACTTGGCCCTGCTTGACCTGGTGTTGATAAAGTTCCTGCCCTGCCTGCCTGAAATCAGACTTTAATTTCACCCTAACGAAATGTTCTGCTTTCATCTACTTCTGAGAAGACTAATATGAATATTATAAAACTCAAATTATTTCTTAATCTTATACCTGAACTCAAGACAAACATGAAGCAAGTAACACCAATATTGTGATTAATAAATTACTTACTAAAAATCTGTTTTCCTTACAAAGAACTTTTGACTCTTAAGCAGAATAAATTATAATTTTACAACCATTTTTATTTTCTGATTACTTTCTTCTAGGAGCAAAATACAGTGAATGTGTTATAGAAAGCTACTTTTTACTGAAAAGCACAAAAAAAGTAAATAAAATTACATTTCTCAACTTAGCTGTCCTGGGCCTAACATTTGTCTGCCAGAAATCTTGCTTCTTAAGGGATACAGTAGAGAGCTGTGAATATTGAGAGCATAAGCTTTGGAGTCAGAACAGTTGACTCTATCTTTTAATTATCAACTACGTGACCTTGAGCCTTAAATGTAGTATAGGTTTAACAGGTTATATCTATCACACATAAACTATTTAATATAAGTATAAAATATAAACCATGTGATCTTTCGAGAGAGAAAGTCAATTTAGAGATTTTTCACTCTCTAAACTTCAGTTGGGGGTATCATCTAACTCATACAACTGCGGTGGAGTTTATATGAGATAATTAATGTAAAACCCTTAACATTCTCTCTGGTATGTAATAAGAGGTAAATAAAAATATCTTAAGGGAGATACAACTAATAAACGCCAGATGCATTGTGATGCTCTTAAAATGCAAGAATCATAATAGTAAAATGAAAGTTGAAAATGAGTTTGGCCTAAAGCAGGCTAAACTAAAAATAAATTCCACATTTCATTGAATCTAAGATGCCAATGAAGGTACGGTTTACCAAAACTTTATGTAACCTAAAAAAGAAACTTGCCAATTAAACTGGCAAACCATCAGCTCTAAGACATCTCCCAATTTCAGAGATGAAGAAATGTGAAAAAAAATTTTTTTGAGTCTTAGATTGGTAAAATGAAGTAAGTTTAATTTTGATTATGTAGTTGAGAGTTAGGATATTAAGTACCATGAAAACAACAATTTTGAAGACAAGATTAAGTCACATAATTAGAATTAAATTGCTCTTTTTCTCAGAGTACTCTTCCATGCTTATCTCTACCATCAATTTCAACTAGCTCCCATCTGTCACTACCTCAGAGAAATGTTCCTCTGTGTTATACGCTCCCACTGCACTCAGTACTTCTTCACAGTACTCATTATACTGTTGAATACCAGTCTTCTCCAGTAGATTTCAAGTCCAATAAAGGCTGTTTTAAATTCAGTGCAATATACCAAGTGCAAGGGTTGCAATCTCAGTATCACACAGAAACAAAAAAGGAAATATAAGCAAGTAAGGTGGTCAGTGCAGTATTTTCACTCATTTTTCATAGCAGTATTACATATTAGTACAATTAAAAAAACCAATTCACAATTTTTGGCTTTATTTTCATTTCATTAAGATATATAGATCTTTTAAAAAATACTGTTGATCTGATTTCTTTGCTTCACAATGGCACAAGTTAGCTATACACTTTATTTACACAAATAAATATACTCTGGCATTTTTCTTGAAATATGCAGCCTTTCAGGTCTCTTTCTTCTCCCTACCACAACCAACCTATCCCATTTCTCTTCGTACTTTCTAACTGAAGGGAACCAGTATCTTGAAATTGGTATGTATTTGTCTCATCTAGGTTTTTATTATTTTACTGCATTTGCATGTACCCAGTATATACTTTCGTTCTTTTTAAAATTTACATAAATAACATGTCCTTTTGCTATTTGCTCTGCCCCAACTTTGTTTTCAATATTGATGGGTTAATGTAGTCAAGTTTATCAGTATTTCTTTTATGACTTATAAATTTATATTTTGTTTGATGTTAGAGATAGACTTTTATTTTTTTCCTAAAAGAATCTCTGAGTTTGCTTTTCAAATTTAGAATTTATAATCCACCTAGAAATAAATTTGGGGTATGATGTGAGGTGAGTCTAATTATTTTTTCATACAGTGAACAAGTATATGAACACCATTAATTAAACATTCTACTCTTTCATTAGTGTTTTAAAATGACACCTTAACATTTACAAAGTTTTCATATAAACACACGTGGTATATTTTTTAGGCTTTGTATTCTACTTCATTAATCTGTCTATCCCTGCACTTAAAAACAGTATGCTATAATTGTTATAGTTTTAAAATAAGGAGGGCAATTCTTCCCTCTTTATTCTTTTAAAAAATTATACTGGCTTTTAATAGCATCTTGATCATATTTTTCCCAAGTATAACATAACATTCTAACAAATACTTTAAACATCATCAAGGACAGACAAATAGGGGTACAGTGATTATCACATTGATCACTTTCCTTACATTAAACTGGTTACAAAAGTGAAAAAAAATTATACTGGCTTTTTCTGGTCATTCAATTTTTCATATAAATCTTAATATTGACTTTTTAATAAAACCCTATTGGGATTTTAACAGATTTTAATCTGTAATTACATTTACAGATTGCTTTTTGGAGAACGAACATATCAAATTGAGTCTTTTCAATAAGCCTAATATATTTCATTCACTTAGTATTTCTCTTATGTCTTTTAATAAAATTTTGAATTTTAAGGACCTCTCAGAAATCTTTTATTTCTCTGTACCTCCTTTTCATTCCAAACTCTTGACTTCATAATGTTTGTTAGAGCTTAGCTAAAACATCATTTACTTCTACGTTCTTCAAATATTCTAGGTGTACTTGGATGCTCCTCCTCTATGCTCTTGGTTTTACTTATTCTTTGCTTAATATGACCAAGAGCTGTGCTAGGCATGGAGGGTGCATACACTGATGACTAAGATTAGCTTCATAAAGCTTTCATTCTAATAGGAGACACAGAACAATAAAACTTGTCATTCAGGATGACACATGCTATTACAGGGAAAGTACACTGTGCTATGGGAATACATAAGAGAAATACCTAACTCAGACTTGGGGGGTGAAGGGTGTCAAATACTGCTTCTCAAGGAAGTAACATGTAGACTGAAACCTGTAAGAAGAACAGAAGTTAGCAAACACAATAGTGACTAAATATCATAGTACTGACATCCTTGTCTTACTCTTGGTTTTGTTGGAAAAGCTCCCACTGCTTAACTGTGAAATCATCTACTCTCTGAATGTTTCCTCCTTTAGCTTCCTTGACACCACTTTTTTGGCTCTCATGCTGCCTGTGATAATTGTTAATTGCTCACTGGACCCTCTACCTTTCTTAAATACTAGTCTTCCCCATGGCATTATCCTTCTCATTCATTTTTAATCTAAATACTATCCTAAAGAAGTTTTTCCACTTCTACAGTTCAAGTATGGATTTATATACTGAGGAGTCAAAAAAAAATTTTTTTAGCTCCTACCATTACAGATTTTCATACCTACATTTCCAACTACATACTAAATTTCTCTGCCCATATGTCTCAAAAGATCCTCAAGCTTTAGATATATTAACATGTGATCTATTTTTATAAAAGGTGTATACTACCAACTAATGAGCAACAGCAGATCTACCTTCCATATTCAGTTCACAGCATAACTACTCATACCTGGTATGAATGAGTCACTATTCTGAATGTATGTTGGCAAATATACCCTCCTTAGAAGCTAGTTTATAACACAGCACAGTTACTAAGTCTGAGATTTGGGAACATGAAGGCTGTTTCAAAGATTGAATAATCACAGAATTTTGTAGGCAAGGTATGTTTTTTTTAAATGTGTCAATTTGCCTAGACTACTAGTTGCCAGTTATTCAATCAAACACTAATCTAGCTGTTGCTGTGAAGATACATTATAGATGTAATTAAAGTCCATAATCAGTTGACATTAGATTATCCTAGATAATACAGGTGGGCCTTATTCAGTCAGTTGAAAGGCCTTAAAAGCAGGCTTCAGGCTTCTCCCAGACAAAGAAATTCTACATATTTACAGCAGCTTCAGCCTGTGCCCATGAGTTCCAGCCTGCCCTTCCAGGCAGCCTACCCTAAGGATTTCAGACTTGCCTAGCTTGCCCCTACAACTGTGTAAGCCAAATCTCTCTCTATATATCTCCTGGTTTCTGCTTCTCTGGTTGAATGTAACTAATAAACCAAGCTTGAGGTTTATTTACAGAAACAATCCCTTAAAAAAACCTAGTAAACCCTCTGGTCTATTCATTTCCAATGAGTTCCATGTGTCAGTAACTATACCAGAGTTTTTTTCTGGAAATGGTTCCTTAAACCTTTTTTTTTTTTTTTTTTAAACTTAATCCTTGCAGTATGTTCCTTCCTCTCCATCCCACATTAGACCATCACCATCTCTTACCTGAACTAGTGATTGAAAAAGCCTCCTAACTGGCTTCTCAGATTAGTTTTTTCTCCTCTATCTATTCTCCACACTGCTGCCAGAGGTCTCTTTCTGGAAAACAAATATGATCATGTCACTATCCTTCTTAAATACCTTTGAAGTCTTCCTACCTACAGGATAGAGGTATTTGTTTACTATTTCATTAATTTCTATTTTTAACTCTTATTTCCTTATATTTTTCTTTGCATTTAATTTTCTAACTTGTTGAGATGACTGGGTATGTTACTGATACTTTTCTTCTTTTATAATAGCATTTAAGGTTTTAAATTCTCTCTAAGCATTGCTTTAGCCAATCATACCAGTATATACACTTTCATTATCCTTCAGTTCAAAATACTTAAAATTTTCATTGTGATTTCTTTGACTGTGTTAGAGATTATTTATTAATAATACTCAAAGCTGGACTTTAAGTTTCAGTAGGAAAATAGCAGCAATTTATTTCCAGATTTTCCCACTTTCCTCAATACAGAGCTACAAAGAGAACGTTAAAAAAAGAGAACAAGTCTATATCTTCAGTGAAGTTATAGGACAATAAAAATCTGAAAATGCCAAGTCATAAGTAAATATGGCCCCAAGTACTTGGGACTAGTAGAACCTATGAAAGAGAGAAGGACAGGAAGTATATAAGGAGCCTAGTGAGGGAACAATAAATTTTCACTCCCAGGAAGAGAGGGTCCTATCCTAAGTGGAAACTGCAATGTTCAGAACTGAATTAAATGGGGGAATGTCAGAGGAAGTAGAGAGAGGTGTAGAAAGTGTCATGAGATTGAGTGGAGGGTGATTTATGAGTGACAGATCTCAGATAGGAATACCCTTCTTAAAGCAAGGCATGAATTTTTCTTCTGTAATATCAAACTTACAGAAAAGTTAAAAGAATAGTATAAAGACCTCCTGAACAACCTCCACAAATTCTCTAAGTGTTAACATTTGAGCAGCCACTTTAAAAGGCAGGAGCTGTATCAGCAGAAGCTAGTAAGGACCTGGTGGAACTCATGGAGAGTAGTTCACACCCCTTAAACACGTAAATTACTGAGAGGCAAAGGAAATATGGTTATATTTTGAAGAAAGAACCCATAAAGCAACAGGACAGAGGTTAAGCAGAAAAACCTGGAAAACTAACTTGCTCCTAATGTCCTATTCCACCTCTCCCTCCTACTCCAGCCTCTTCTAACAGGTGGTTTGGAAAAACTAGTATCATTTAAATATGAATAACAAAAAAGTGATGAGTATCCATACAAAGATACCATAAGAAAGTGTAAAAAGGCAGCACAACATCCCTGATGAAGAAAAACAAAAAATATCATCGCAAAGTAGACGAATATTAATTCAAAGATTCTTTAAA